CACGGACATCTCCTGAATGTCTACTGTATATCCCCACTCATTTGAATACGAGTTCTTGACTTTATAATAGTTACTTTCCGCATGTGGATTCCAATTCTGGATCGGATGAAAACTATCGTTGATGTCTATGACTTCTATGTTGCGGACATAGCTGGCTTTCCTAAAACCTTCTTCAGGGAAGTGACTGGAATCCATCTGGGTCTTCGTGTGTCGACCATAGCTGTGAGAGTCCACAATTTCACCGCTCCAGTCTACCGAAATTGCGTAATGAGATAAACTTGTGAAAAGTTTTACGGACCAATATCCTACCAGTAGGCCGTTTCAACTCAACCACCAATTCTTATTTTTTTTATCCTATAATTTTTATTTTTAATCTATTAGTTAGAGATATAAAAATATAATAAATAAATAAAATATAATAAATAGAAAATAATGAAAAACCATTACCATCCATACTGGCTACTTCCGAAGCTAGAGACAGGAGAAATGGCCCCTCCCATGACAATACTTCTACTGATTTGTATAAAACCAGGTTCTTCAAGGTTATATATAGCCTCCAGTTCGTTTGTATGCGTCACTCTGAAAAGTACTTCAAGTATTTTTATTTTAGAATACAAAATTTATTAAAAGGTATATATTGTAGATCATTTTAATTACGTATTTTGAAAGAAGTAAAAATAACATATTGGATTTATTAAAAGTCTTATGTTTATATGTATTAAAAGAGAGTTTTTTTAATTCATATTTATATTTAGTGTAAATATTAACATGATATATGTGTCCCTTCCTTCATGAGAAATTTCAAAAAATGCCACACTTTTGAAATCTTTATAAAAATATCACTTTTTCAAAATTATTTTTTCTTTATATTATTTATATTTGGGTTAATTATGTTCTATTGGAGTTTAGTTATGCGGGTTTAGGAGGGTTTAGGGGTCAAAATATTTTTTAGTGTTTAGAATTTTAAGATATTGAGTTTAAAAACCTATAATTAGTGGCAATTTTGCAAATGAACACCCTTAAATGGTATTTTTGCAAATGTCACATAAAAAATGGCATTTTTGCAATTTTCTCTTTTTTTCATTGATTTTCTGTTTTAGAACAATGTATTACTATATGGATTAATTAACTTTGAAATTACAAATTGATACTAATAAATTCATAGTACTACGTATAGTAATATTTTAAACTTGAAACCATAAATAAGATAAAATTGATAATGAAATGAAAATCATACGTACCGTCAAAAATTGATGATGAAAGATACATTAATGTATATATGGTTACCAACATTTAAAAAATTTAGAGACATTTTCATGTGCTAACTAACTTGTAATCTTATTAATTGATGCATGATGAAATATTCATACCAAGAAAACAAATAAATCAAGTATTTTTCTACATTAGTTTTAACATTTTCTTCTTATTGAAAAAGTTAGTATAATTTCTTTTTTCAAGCAAAACATAAGTAAAATATAAGCAAAATATAAATAAAATATAAGCAAAAAAATGCAACAATTCATGTTTTGGTTTAATTGATCATGATTAAGTCGTAATTTCAGCACTTATGACATCATTGCATAAATTTAGAACTTGCAAAAAGAGAATGAAAATGCATAATTAATAGAACACTTATGTATAATCATAACAATAGAAAACTAATATGTTATTTATTCATAAGTAATAAACGAACCTGCCATCCAACTTTGATGGTGTGGAGATCATTTGTGTCATATCCTCCCGAAGTAATCCAAATTTGCGAGATGCTTAATTTGCTTTTGTTTTCTACCATCGGATCCCACACGTTTATTGTAGCTTTGGTTCCGTACATTTTGTGTAGGAACATCCGTAGACACTTGCACATACTATCATGTTTAACCCAAAAATTACTGTAGTTTCTAAAACGTACTTATGCATATCATTTTGCAGAAATACGTAA